CCTCAAACCCCTGGCAGACTCAATTCGCTTGTGGGGCAGCTGAATAGTGCCTTCCCTGCTGCCTGCCAGCTGCCCTTTTCATAGGTCTTCCTATTCCCTCACAGGTTGTCCACATCTTCTCTCACATCCACCAGACATATGTAGTCTACTCCTTGTCCCTGGACAGGGATGTGACCCTGGGCCCTGCCTCATCCCCATCCCGCTGGGTGACAGAGGAGGAGTTCCATGCCTCAGCTGTGTCCACAGCCATGAAGAAGGTACTGGGGACTTTTTCTCCCCTCCCTCCCTCTTCCTGGGTTCCTGGGAGAACCTCTGGCTGTCCTGGCTCCAGGACCCAACTGCTATTCACCTCTGGGCCCTCTTATGCTTCCTTCAGGTGCTGAAAGCATGTGAGAAGCAGCGTGGGAAGGAGAGCAGCCCTGGCAAGGTGAGCGTTACTGGAGGGTTCATGGGGGCCCAGGAGCTGCTCCCCATTGCTATGGGCCAGCCTGTGGTGTGTGGTGCTGGAGCTCCCCCTGGGTTTTGGGATCAGGCCAAGGAGCATCCACAGTCTGGGCCAGGGCTGCACCTAGGGATATTTGCTTGGCTGGTGTTGTCCGTGGATGTCCCCAGTACCAGTGGCCCCTGTGCTCCAGAGGGGATCCCTGGAGGCCATGGGAGCCCTTGAGGCTTGGCTTGACCCTGCTGAGTGTCTCCCACAGGGCTCCAAGAGGAAGCGAGGAGCAAAGAGGCAGGATGCAGGCAGCACCTGCGCCGGGACGCAGCTCTCACTCCACGCCTTCCTCCAGTCACCAGCTGCCCTGTGACAGCACCTTCCACGTACGAGACCACCAGAGAGACCCATGCTGGGGTGAGTCCTGCTGGTGGTGTGGGGATGGTGTCCCCCATATGGTTGTGAGCCCAGTACAGGGCCCTGTAATGGTCTTCTGCTCCTGACAGAGTCCACCAGCTGCCCTGGGGGAGTTGTGCCTTGGCGGGGCCACTGTGGTCTTGGGCTGGGGCCAGGGGTGCCTTTCCCCCTTGGCTGAGCCCTCCTGGGGTTATTCGGCCCCATACAGCCACCGCCCCAGCACTGCAGACTCGAGGCAGCCGCGGTTTCTCCTTGGCAACAGGAAGGCTCTGGCTACATCACTCCCACAGCCCTGTCCCCGGCTGCTCGCCTGCACCTCACCCACCAGCCAGCAACCGTGGGTGCTGCTGTACCCTTCCTGGCCTCCAACAGCCCTTTGTATACACTTGTTTTTACTGAACCTGAACCACAGGCTTTTTAATAATAAATCTGTCCTAAAGTATGTGTGGGTTTAAGTGACTTTCTGCCTCTGCTGCACTGTGGAGCTGTTGGGCAGCTTGAGGTTGAATGTGAGGATGGCAGGCAGGATCCCTACTGCCAGGCTGGGGACAGCAAGGATTTCTTTGTTAATGAGCCCTTCAGCAGAGCATTAACTGCTGGTCACCTCAAATAAGGCAGCCAGAGCAACGCTCCAGCAAGGGCAAGCATTAGCCCGTAGTGGCTGTGCAGCTTCTGCTCCTGGGCTGCTCCTCTGTGGGTCCAAGCAACCATCCCTTGGGCTTTTTGTAGGCTTTTTATCCTGCACTTTTTTACATTTCCATCAAACTGTTCCTCGCTATGTTCACGCTGTGAATTTTCCCTGTGCTGCACAGTAGCACTCTTGCCAAAGACACTAGCCCCAGGGCTGGCAGGGACAGGGGCCAGTCCTGGGGCGTGCACGAGGGGCAAGTGTCCTCAGTTTAGGGACTGCAGGACTGGGGACAGCCTGCCTCGAGGGGTAGAAATGACCCTTTCATTCTTGCCATTCTCTCCAGTGGAAGGAGAAAAAAACCAAAGCACTGCTTGCAAGTTAATTCTTTAATTGAGAGGAGCAAGAGGCTACCACTTGCCCCGCACAGGGACTGGCCTTGCTCTGGGTGGTCACTGCTGATGAGCAGCCGTGTCCATGGCCCCTGGGTTACCCACTCCCACCAGCAGCCCCTCATCCCTCTACATCTGGGGCTTTTGCTGTGCCAGCTGTGTTCTTGGCTGTGCAGCAGGCACAAGTCCCATTAAATTAAGATGGAAGTAAGGCAGAAAGCTCTTCTTGTGAGGTTGATAAATCACTGGGAACCCAGGGGGGAGAAGTCACCCTCTGTCCTGGGGGATACTCAGAGCCTTGATGGACTTGGCCCTGGGCAACTTGCTCCCACACTGAGCTGGCTCTTAGTTGACATGGAGACCTTGCTTGGTCTCTGCCCACCTGTGCCACACCACAGGCACCTGCTGGTATCTCTGCAGTGGTGTATTGCTCCAGGGCTGGACTGGAGAGGATGGGGAGCTGAGGGAGGAAGCTGCAGTGTTGCCACTACTGCTGCTGGTCCATATAGACCTGCACAGCTTTCCACAGTGCCCGTATATTGCCTTCCCCAAAGCCCTGTGCTCCCTGCCGCTCAATGAGCTCCAGGAAGAAGGTCTCCTCAGAGAAGATGGGGTGGGTGAAGATCTGCATCAAATACTCCTGGGAAGGGCTCTCTGTGGCATCAGTGCCTGTCTGACCCTTGTGCCCAGGTGCTGTGGTGTCCAGCAAGATGCCAAGCTCTGCCAGCATGTGGGGCTCCTGCCCTGCCTCCCGAATCTCCTCTGCTTTGCCCCCCTGGCTGTAATAGGTGGCAGGGGGTGTGAAGAACCGCACACCGTGCTGCTGTAAAGCCCTAGTCGTAGTGATGATATCGGTGGTGCAGAGGCCGACGTGCTGGATCCCGCCCCCACCGTGCTGCTCTAGGAAAGTGTCGACTTGGTTGGTGCCATCCTTCGAGAGGGACTCGGCGAGGATGAGCTTGCACCCGTGTGCTGGGGTGCCCTGGGCACTCTGCAGTGCGAGGAGCAGCATGCCCACCCCTTGCCCCCCAAGCACATACCCCTCAGCAGGCCTCTCCTGTGGGTTCAGCAAGAAGCGGCGGAAGCCGAAGCAGCGCTGGGAACAGTCCAGAGCTGCCCTGGCGCTGCCACACGTACGTGATGTGGTCAAAGTGGGTGATCTTGATCCTGTTACCCATAGTCAAGGGGGCTCTTTGGATGGGTTGGAAGCCGGGCAAGAAGGGACCCCGGTAACGGGATCGGTCCAGAAGGGTATGGCTGATGTTGCCTACAATGGACCTTGCCACCCCGTAGGTGACAGAGCCACCATCATCTCTCACCTCAGTCGGGGGCACCAGCAGGGAGCATCCCTGGCTCTGCAGCCGCTTACAGAGCTGTGGCACGTCGTCCACCTCGAAGCAGACGTTGGAGGCCGTGCCCAAGGTGGGCCGAGGGTCCACGTCATAAAGGAAATCGTGGGAGGAGGGGCTGGCGTGTCCTGGGACC